AGATGACATCAGGTGCATGTGACAGGGTTGGCACCATAATGTACTCAGCGTGATGGCCCTGAGGTCTATTTAGTTAAGTCCTCCAGTAGAACCTTGTTTGAGGCAGAGTTTCTTCTACATATATCATTTGCTGTTGTACAACTCATGGTGTAGACCAAGTTGGCCTCCAGAGATCCGCCAGCCTCTGTCTCCAGAGTGCTGGGATTAACAGCACACACCATTACTGCTCTGCCCTAGTAGGACTCTTAACAGTATTTACAGTTCAGTACTTGTTTTCATTTTCCCACCTTCACAGAGCACTGACTGGTTCTCAACCTTAGTTCCTCATGTTGTAATGACCTCGAACCATAAAATTATTATTATTTTTTATTTTTTATTTTTATTTTTTTTTTTGAGACAGGGTTTCTCTGTGTAGCCCGGGCTGTCCTGGAACTCACTCTGTAGACCAGGCTGGCCTCAAACTCAGAAATCCGCCTGCCTCTGTCTCCCAAGTGCTGGGATTAAAGGCATGTGCCACCACTGCCCAGCCATAAAATTGTTTTTGTTGCTACTTCCTCACTATAATTTTGGTACTGTTAAACTGTAGCCTAAATGTCTAATGTTAAGGATATCTGATGTGATTCTCCTGAAAGGGGTGGAGCCCCTCAGCTGAATTATTAGATGGGAGGAAGTGTTTAGGAATGGAATTAAGAGGAACTTGTCCTAGCCAGGGTGAGGTTGTACATGTCTTTAATCCAGCACTCAGGAGACAGGCAAACCCTGTTTCAAAAAACTAAAGAAAAAGAGAGGAACCAGTGCTATTTAAAAAAAAAAAAATCCATGTTTCCCAATAAGATTCACTGCCTGTTGTCAGACCCATCCCATAACAGGGAAAACCCAGACTGAGGCCAATCCCTAACTCTGGAACTCCCCAGACAAAATGCTGGGGATGTCTGTGTAGGAACTGGTCCAAGGAAAATCTATTTCTGGGACAGGGTTGTTGGGTAGAGACAGGCAAGGAGACAGTGTTGAATTAGGAGCTGCTCAAAACCATCACAGGGACTTATGAGTTCATCATACAGTAGAGAAGATTACCACAGCGGTTCTTGACAAGGCACAGGTGTAAGGCAACCAACATCGAGGCTCAGCTTTCTGATGTATCCAAGGCATTCAATAGAATGGGGGATAAAGTTGACTTTGTCCATGCCAGATTCGCCACAGGGAGCCATTGTGTTCCAATGGAGGGTCCCTCAGCAGCACCACTTCACTCTACACTGCCATGCCCTTGAGGAAACTCCTTAGCCTCTAATAGAGGGCTAGTAATCAAATTTAGAGGGAGAGAGACACAGACAGACATTGACTTGCCCAAATTTATAACTCTCTGTTGGTTTAACATCTATCAAATTAGCTGTCTGTTTCAGGCCTTTGTGGACAGTCATAGTGTCTTTCTTTCTATGGTAAGGATAGAGTTGAGGTTTGAAGGAAGCCTGAAATGGCATTGTTGGGTATCTTCTAACTTAACCTTTTTGTTTTTTTTAAACAGGTCTAATCTAATCAAGAAGTTCAAGCTGAAGAAATGTAAACTTGGTTCTGTAGTATAAGTGTGGGCCTTATTCTAACAGCTCCATTGCTTCGGAATGGCCACGAGAGAGTTTTAACTATAGATGTTTACTGAGGCTTGTAGTGTTGGTTACTGGGCAAATGTTTGGCCTCCTTGAACTTAACTGTATGGTGATTGAGTTAAATACAATAAATTGGTTTATTCTGAAATGTGTAGTAAGTGTCCATATTGTGTGTGTCTGCTGAACATAATGGAGCCCCAGGAGAAATGCCATCTGGCATGCCTTTGATTCATCTCAGTGCTTCTCAACATTACTAATGCTCTGACCTTTTAATGCGGTTCCTCGACAAAAAAAACACAGGTTTTTTTGATCCAGATCTTGGTATAGAGTCTATGAATCTATGAAAAGCTTAGGCCCAGGAAAGGTCATATATGCCTTTAATCCCAGAAGACATAGGCAGGCAGATCTGAGTTCAAGGCCAGACTGGAACAGTAAGTTTCAAGTAAAACAGCTTTGGTCTAGGCTGGGTGCTACACACCTTTAAACTTTCCATACCTGCTGGAGGTCTACATAAGGACAGTGGCAGAAGGAAGGGTTCTTCACCTGCTGGCACTTACTTGCCAGCACATCTGTTGGAACCTTCTTCAGGATTCCAGCTTATACAGAAGTCCAGCTGAAACGACTAGCCTCGTGGGAGTGAGCAAGTAGGCTCTTGGACTTCCCATTCACAGCTGCCCATTGTTGGGTTAGTTGGACTGCAGACTGTCATTCCAATAGATTCTGTGATTAGAGAACCTTGTCTAGTGTAACCATACTGCTTTTTAAATGGTTCTAGCTGCTCCAGGCCGAGGGTTCCTGCAGTGCAGACAACTTCAGGCAAGCAGACCCAGCTCTTGGTTTTTATTTGCAAAGGGGGTCCTGTGCTTCAGTGTGGTCAGAGCATACTGTTAAGAATGACATGAAGCCTGGTCTACAGAGTGAGTTCCAGGAGAGCCAGGGTTACACAGAGAAAGGCTACACAGAAACCCTGTCTCGAAAAAAAAAAAAATGGCACAGAGCAGGGTACAACCTTGAGCATATTTTTTCAAAAGTACTATTTCTCAAGAAGTTTTAGTTTCTGCCAGATGGCTTTGCAAGAAATTTTCAATGCTTTGTTTGCATCGGATGCGTGTATCTGGTGCCCTCTTCTGGCCTGCAGGCATAGTGAAAGCAGAACACTATACACTAGTATTTTAAAAAAAAAATCCTCTGTACAATTGTTTTCCCTGTAGTATTTGGATATTTTTACTTCTTGCAAACCCAAGCTAAAACCAACCCCTTCTATGCTTGGAGGTTGGACCTAGCACCTCAGGAAAACTTTGTCACAGTTCTCCCAAATTCTACCCCTATTCCCTCAGAGATTGTTCCAGGTTTAAACCAAGCTCGGCATGCTGTATCTGTAACCCCAATATTGGATAGCAGGCAAGAGGATTTCTACAAGTTCAAGGCAATCTGTCTCACATGGGTGAGTCAAATATAGCTGTCAATCAGGAGAAATAAAAGGTCATCGCCATGCTTGGCTTTGCACACCTGTAGTGTCAACACACGGGCGGAGGCAGGAGCACAAGTGTGAAAGCATCCTGGTCTGCATGGTTTTTGGGTAGTCAGAGTTGTGTATTAAGAAGCTTGTCTTCATGCCGGGCAGTGGTGGCGCACGCCTTTAATCCCAGCACTTGGGAGGCAGAGGCAGGCGGATTTCTGAGTTCGAGAGTTTGAGGCTAGCCTGGTCTACAGAGTGAGTTCCAGGACAGCCAGGGCTACACAGAGAAACCCTGTCTCGAAAAACTAAACCAAAAAAAAGAAGCTTGTCTTCAAAAAATAACAGTGCGTTCCTTTCAAAGCTGGTGTTGCCAGGCTGGAGAGAGGCATGGCTCATGGTAAGAGCACTTGCTATTATTTCAGAGGACCTGAAACTAAATTCAGTTTTCCATACTCACACAGTGGCTACAACAGTCTCTATCTCCAGTTCTAAGAGATCTAATGCCTTTTCTGACATCTGAGCATATACGACATTCCTGTGGTACACATACACACTGCCAGCAAAAGACTCATACACATAAAATCTCAAAAACTGGCTGGAGAACTAACTCATTCCTTAAGATCACAAACCACGCCGGGCGGTGGTGGCGCACGCCTTTAATCCCAGCACTTGGGAGGCAGAGGCAGGCGGATTTCTGAGTTTGAGGCCAGCCTAATCTACAGAGTGAGTTCCAGGACAGCCAGGGCTACAAAGAAAAACCCTGTCTTGAAAATCAAACACACACACACACACACACACACACACACACACACAGAAACCTCGCTTTCCCAGAATTTGATCTCCAGCACCCATATCAGGTAGCTAAGAACCATCTATAATTCCAGCTGCAGAAAAATCCAACACCCCTGGTTTGGGCAGGCACTAATACTCAAGTCCACATACAGATAGACATGCTGCGATGGTTTGTATATGATTGGCCCAGGGAGTGGCACTATTAAAAGGTGTGCCCTTATTGAAGTAGGCATGTCACTGTGGGCATGAGCTTAAGACCCTCACTCTAGCTGCCTGGAAGTGAGTTTTCCACTAGCAGCCTTCAGATGATGTTAAACTCTCAGCTCCTCCTGTACCATGCCTGTCTAGATGCCCTTGCCTTGAGAATAACGGATTAAACCTCTGAACCTGTAAGCCAGCCCCAATTAAATGTTGTCCTTATAAGAGTTGCCTTGGGGGCTGGAGAGATGGCTCAGCGGTTAAGAGCACTGACTGCTCTTCCAGAGGTCCTGAGTTCAAATCCCAGCAACCACATGGTGGCTCACAACCATTCATAATGAGATTCGATGCCCTCTTCTGGTGTGTCTGAAGTCAGCTACAATGTACTCATAAATAAAATAAATAAATCTTTAAAAAAAAAAAAAGAGTTGCCTTGGTTATGGTGTCTGTTCACAGCAGTAAAACCTTAACTAAGACATATGCACTTGTATGCATAATTAAAAGTTGGTTTTTTTCTTTTTCTTTTGGTTTTTCCAGGCCAGTTTTCTATGTGTAACTCTGGCTGTCGTGGAAATCACTCAAACTCAAAAGATCTACTTGCCTCTGTCTCTCGAATGCTGGAGGCACTCAGTTTAGCAAAAGCCATTATTTTTAAAAACAACAGGCTTTGCCTCTCCTGAGCCATTTGCTGTGTCCCAAGCCATGTGTGCTTTCCCCAGCTTCCACCAGGTGTCACCGCTGATGTAGTTTTTGCCCCAGGCCTATCCCTATTGGGCCTTGGCCTGCATCCCAGGTTTGCAGTTGTGATTTATTTTTGGCAGGCCAGCCTTCCATCACCAAGTACCAAAGTCCCAGAAGAGAAGCGAGATAGAAACTCTAACAAGTGTCTACTCAGGTCACGGCTTCGATCCTTTGTGGTCCGCTGTCTCCCAAGGGCTCCAGGACCTTTGGAATTCTTGTTACTTCCATTCAAGGGCCTACAAGGACCTAACGGTGAGTAGCCAGGCAGTAGTCGGGAGCAATGAGGTTGTGAGGCAAAGACAGGAACCCCTCCCCAGGTCTGTTTGACCCATTTCCCCTCAGATTTGGGAGAGCACGGATTCTAAGGATACCTGTCAGGTAGTTTCTACAGATCATGCATCTGGCTATGTCGTATTCTCTAACTAGCTTTCTGGGATATCAAATTCCAAAACACTGGACCATCTACTCTTATTTAGAACACCCCCACACCCGCAGGGAGTCTTGATGGTAATGGATCAAGGGGCTAACAGAGCCATAAATCAAGATCCAAGGTTGGCTCAAGTCAGGCCTTAAGACCAGGGAGATGGACACATATATATTATCAGAAAAGGTGAACACACAGCCAGAATTTGACCGGCCTGCCTTAGGATGGCATGCTGGTATAGGCCAAGAATTTCCCTGTACCCATGCAAGGGGTCTGGTATGGCTGGCTAATAGGTGAGGGGCATACGTGCCCATCTTGGGATTTTAGAGTGGCCTTTCAGCAAACAGGATTGTTTTTTGATGGGTACTAACACCTTTGGGCTCTGTTGGCTGTTGATACGGTCGGTACACAGGCCTGGTTCTGCTATTGGCAAAGGAGACAGTTGTTATTCTAAACCGTCCTCGGGTAACCAGGCACCCAGTCGCTGGACACCAGGCTTCCCGCAAAGGCCAGCTTGAGGCAGCCAGAACTGTTGCTTGGCTGGTCAGCAAATTGGGCCCCTCGGGAGACCAGGCTTTCTTGGAAGTGGACAAGAAGCACGTTCCCTCTGCCTGCTTGCCCCCTCCTCTTGCTGGGTGATTTTCTGCCTTTCTCAAACTCTGGGTCTGAAACAGGAATTCAATTTCCTGGCAGGAGCCTCTATGTTCTATCTGGCTCTAAGATGGGCCAGCTTAGCTTCTCCACGTCCAAGCTTGAGCACACTGACTCAGGACTGGGGGTGTATCTCAGCCCAGTCAGTGGCGGAGTGCTTGCTTAGTGTACTCAATACCCTGGGTTCTATCCCTAGCACTTAAAAATAAAAATAAGATGGCTGGAGAGATGGCTCAGTGGTTAAGAACACTGGCTGTTCTTCCAGAGGACCTGGGTTCAATTCCCAGCCCCCACCGCCACCTCCCATGGCAGCTCATTACTGTCCTTAGCTCCAGTTCCAGGAGAGCTGACACAGTCATAGGGACGTACATACAGGTGAGACACCACGACACATAAAATTAAATTGTTATTGTTTTAAAAGTAAAACAGAAATAAGAGGAACTGACTCATGGCAGGCATGGAGACACATGCCTTTAATGCCAGCACTGGGGACACAGAGGCAGGTGGATCCATTTCTCTATGAGTTCTAGGCCAGCCACAGTGTCATAGTGAGACCCTGTCTCAAAAAAAAAAAAAAAAAACAAACAACAAAAACTTTACTGTATTACCTACTCTGCTCCAGGTCTACTGAGGTCTTGCATTGCTAGGTAGGATCTAGAGTATTCCATTGGCTAAGGCTGTACAGTGCATCACCTATCACCTGTCCATTGAATCATACCCGGTGCTTGCCACACACCTGTGCTGGGCACAAGGCCCAGAGACACCTAAAAGCATCACAGTCTAATGGGAGGTAATAGCATAGGCTGAGACCAAGAATCACTCATCCAGCTCTGGTACAGTGCTTGGTTTTCTTTTGTAAGATTATTTTAATTTTATGCGTATGGCTGTTTTGTCTGTACCCTGCTTATGTGCCTGGTCCTGACAGAGGCCAGGAGAGGACACCTCAGCCCCTGGAACTAGACTTATAGACGGTTGTGAGCTGCTCTGTGAGTCCTGAGAATTTGAACCTGGGCCTCTTAAGTAGCAGCCAGTGCTTATAGCAACTGAGTTTTCTTTTCAATATTCGTCTCTTGCCCCTTTTTTTATTGATACGAGGTCTCATGTAGCCCTGGCTGGCCTAGAACTTCTATGTAGGTCAGGCTAGCCACTAGATCTGTTTTTTCCTTCCTACCTTTTTCTTCCTTCCTTCCTTCCTTCCTTTCTTTCTTTCTTTCTTTCTTTCTTTCTTTCTTTCTTTCTTTCTTTCTTTCCTTCTTCCTCCCTCCTTCCCTCCCTTCCTTCCTTTCTTTGTTTCCTCCTTTCTTTTCATTTGTCATTTAAGATGGTGTCTTCTTAACTCATCCTGGTGAGCCTGGAACTTGCTGTGTAGACCAGTCTGGTCTCAAACACACAGAGATCTGCCTGTCTCAGCTGTGAGCAGCAGACCCCACAGTGTTTGGCTTGTTTAATGGCTATTCAGTCAAGAGTGATGGTAGCTCATGCCTGTAAACCTAATGGCAGGAGAATTGCAAGTTTGAGGTCCAGCTGGGCTACATAATTAATTCTGAGCTAGCCTGGGCTACAGAGCGAGGTCTAGCTCAACAATGAGCTTTTTAATATTTATCTTTCCCCAGCTTTCTGGCCCACTCCCATTCTTATAAGTGTCTTTCTTTTTCTCAATAAACTGTCTCTATTATCTTAGAAAACAAACACACACACACACCCCTAAAAAAAAAAAAACCCACTAACTTCTAAGGGCACCAGACACACGTGTGGTACACAAATATCCATGAGGGTGAAACGCTCGTACTCCTGAAATCAAAATAAAATTGATCAGGAAATGAAAGGCATGGGCGTTCTGCCATGTGGGGAGAAACAGGGCCAGTGCAAAATATAGCACATGGGCACGACGGCACAGACCTGAAAGCCAGCACTTGGGAAGTAGAAAGATCAGGAGTTCAAGACCAGTTTCAGCTCAGGCAAGTTCAGTGGTAACTTGGGCTCCATGAGACTCTTAAGCCAAAAGAAGAAAAAGAGCGGTTGCCGGGCAGTGGTGGCGCACGCCTTTAATCCTAGCACTTGGGAGGCAGAGGCAGGCGGATTTCTGAGTTCGAGGCCAGCCTGGTCTACAGCGTGAGTTCCAGGACAGCCAGATATACACAGAAAAACTCTGTCTCGAAAAACAAAACAAAACGGTCGTCGTCGGCAGAATGACAGCAAATACAGAAGGGGTGGTGGCTGACTTGTGGATGGACAGACGAGTGAGGAGCAGTGTGATGTATGCGGGGAGTTCTTCCCGGAAGGAGGGGCAGGAAGGTAAGGGAGTCCACAGGGATGGAAGGGTACCCCGAGGATGCGAAGCTTTCCTTCTTTGCCACAAGTGTAGAGAAACACAGGAGAAAAGCGAAGGTAGGAGAGGTGGTTCAGAAGTTACCCGCACTGGCTGCCCCTGGAGTCACCAGAGTTTAGTTCCCAGCATCTGCATGGTAGCTCACAACTGCTCTAATCCGGAATCTGGGCTCCCTTTTCTTTACCCCTCTTCTCTCCTCTGCAGGCACCTGCATATACCCACAAAGAGCCCTACCTGCTTTTTTAGTTTTGGTATTTCAAGACAGGGTTCCTCGGTTTTAGCTCTGGCTGTTTTGGAACTACAGCGGTGGCCCAGGTCTTTAATCCCAGCACTCAGGAGGCAGAGACTGGCAAACCTCTGTGAGTTTGAGGCCCGCCTGGTCTACAGAAATAGTTCCAGGACAGCTGGAGCTAAAACAGAAAAACCCTGTCTTGGAAAAAAGAAAGGAAGGAAGAAAGGAAGGAAGGAAAAGCAGGAAGGAAAGGAGGAAGAAAGGAAAAGAAAGGAAAAGAAAAAGGAGAAAAAAGAGGCAGGAGAGGTGGGAACTTGCCTGCTTTTTCTGTACCCCTTTCAGAGGTCCTTGGGATCCCCCTGAGACCCACTTGACCATGACCCGGGATGAGGCCCTCCCTGACTCCCATTCTGCACAGAGTTTCTATGAGAACTACGAGCCCAAGGAAATCCTGGGCAGGTAAGACCCGGACCGCCCTCGGATCGCAGATTGGCTCTACCCTCCGCACTTCCCGGGTTTCTTTTTTTTTTTTTTTTATAGTTTATTTATTATATGTAAGTACACCGTAGCTGTCTTCAGACACACTAGAAAAGGGCATCAGATCTCATTACAGATGGTTGTGAGCCACCATGTGGTTGCTGGGATTTGAACTCATGACCTTTGGAAGGGCAGTCAGTGCTCTTAACCGCTGAGCCATCTCTCCAGCCCTTTCCCGGGTTTCTTACCCCTTAGCTCCTCCCCATAGGGTGAGGAGGGAAGCCCGTGTTACAGCCCAGGGCCTTTGATTTCCTGATTGATTTAATATCTGTTTATCTGTTTTCTGAGTACAAGTGTTTCGGTTGTATGCATGTTTGTGCAGCACATGCGTGTCTGGTGTCTTCAGAAGACAGAGTACAGTGTCGGATCCCCAGGAGTTCCAGACAGTTGTTAGTGGCCATGTGGGTGCCGGGAACTGAACCCAGGCTCTCTGAAAGAACAAGTACTCAATCTCTGAGCTTTCCCTCCAGTCCCTGTACTGTAGCCTTTGGTAAGGGACTTGAGTATGGAGTCCCGAGGCCATCCGTTCTCTGCCCACAAGGGGAGTGAGCAGCGTGGTCAGGCGCTGCATCCACAAACCTACGTGCCAGGAGTATGCAGTAAAAATCATCGACATCACCGGCGGAGGAAGCTTTAGCTCTGAGGAGGTACAGGAGCTTCGGGAAGCCACCCTGAAGGAGGTGGACATCCTGCAGAAGGTCTCAGGATACCCCAACATCAGTAAGTGTATTCTCCAAACTCCCCTACTCCCCCGGGCACAAGCCATGGGCAGAATGCTTTATAGTGAGTGATTCTGCCCTAATAACCCAAGTCAGGGTGTTAAGAGCCACCTTGTGACCAGCTCTACCCATTCAAGGGCATCCTGGTCAGTGGCCCTGCCAGCCAGCAAGTTGTTGAGGCTCGAGATGCCTTCCTCATTGCTCAGAATGGGTACAGCCAATGTTGGGAGCGGAGTGGGGGTGGGGGGCAGGTGGGAAAGCGGAGTATGAAGTCCCTGGTCCTTCCCACATCACAACGATTGCCTTGGAACCGCATCACATTCCCACCCCTGCCTTTGAAGCCAGCCTGCCTGGTCTCTGTGCCCTGTGGTCCATACGAAGGTTCCTCTGCTCCTTGAGACCAGCTAGCCTTTTCCATTTCAGTACAGCTGAAGGACACTTACGAGACCAACACTTTCTTCTTCTTGGTATTTGATCTGTAAGTACCCAACCCTGGAGCCACCATTATCCTGGGGCTTATGAAGCCCTCCAGCAGTCCCTACCAGGCTGTCAGGGGGTGACCAACATCAGTCCCAAGAAAAGTCAGGAGTTGATTCAGGTTCAGGGCCATTCTGCCAGATTTGAAACTTGGAATACCACTTATGGATGAGTTAAATATATATATATAAAAAATATATATTTATATATGTGTGTGTGTGCATGTATATATGTGTGTATATATATATATACACATATGTGTGTGTCTTCTTTTAATGAAAAAAATTTTTTTTTTCGAGACAGGGTTTCTCTGTGTAAAAGCCCTAGCTGTTCTAGAACTTGCTCTGTAGACCAGGCTGGCCTCGAACTCACAGAGGTCCTCCTGCTTTGCCTCCCAAGTGCTCGGATTAAAGGCATGCACCACCATCGCCAACTTTATGATCAGTTTTTATTAGAAAGAAATTTCCAAGATGGGTGTAGTGGCCCATGCCTTTAGTCCCAACACTTGGGAGGCAGAGGCAGGCAGATAGATATCTCTGTGAGTTTCAGGCTAACCTGGTCTACAAAGTGAGTTTCATCAGAGAAACTTTGTTCAAAAAAAAAAGAAAAGAGAAAACTACTCCTCCGAGTGAGGCCATGCATGCCTTTAATTCCAGCACTTAGGAGACAGAAGCTTGGAGAGTTCTGGGCCTGCCTGGTCTACACAGTGAGTTCCAGGCTGGCCAAAGTGTATACAGAGACTGTGTCTCAAAAAACAAAGGAACATAAGAAGGGGATGGGTGGGCGGGGAGTGAGAACAGGAGGGAAGAGAAGGGACAGGAAGAGAGACCTGCACTTGAAAGCCTGCCTGGGTGGATCACATCTGCAGTGCCAGATGTGCACTCTGGAGACTGAGGCAAAGGCATCAAAAGTTTGAAGCCAGTTTGAGCCACATAGCTGCAGCTTGTCTCAGAAAACAAAAACCAAAAACTATTCAATTCAGTCTTTTTCCCTTCCTGATCTAGAACGTGGTCTCTGCTAGAGTAGTTTTACCCTGGAGGGCTCCTCAGGACGCTGGTAAAAATAGCTTCTCCAAGCCACCTCGCTAAAGGTTAAAGACATTTGAGCTGTCCCCAAAGGTTACACAGGACAGAGCCCTGAGGATACAGCAGAATGGCTCCCACTGGGCAGGAGAGGGGGCCTTTCTAGGGCCAGTCCTGTGGTTAAATAGGAAAAGATAAAACTGGGCACCTTGGTACAGTCCTATAATCCAACTTTGGAGGGTAAGGGAGAAGGATTGTTGCCATGGTTTTAGGGCTAGCCTGGGCAACACTGTGAGACCCTGCTACAAATTTTTCTTATATAAATAATGAGAAAAGAGGAAACAGAAAATATTGGAGGGCTCAACAGGAAGGTACAATATGATATGTTTCAACACTACAAACCTACTGTCATTGCTTCCTTGAGTAAATTCTATCATTAAATTAACTGTAATGAGGGCTGGAGAGATGGCTCAGCGGTTAAGAGCATTGGCTGCTCTTCCAGAGGTCCTGAGTTCAATTCCCAGCAACCACACAGTGGCTCACAACCATCTGTAATGGGATTCAATGTGTCTGAGACAGCTATAGTGTACTCACATACATAAAATAAATAATTCTTTTTAAAAAAATGAACTATAGTGCCGGGTGGAGGGACACACCTTTGATCCCAGCACTCAGGAGGCAAAGCCAGATAGATCTCTGTGAGTTTGAGGCTAGCCTAGTCTACAGAGTGAGAGAGAAACCCTGTCTTGAAAAACCAAAAACCAAAAACCAAAACAAAAAAAAAACCCACACAAAAAACAAAACAAACAAACAAACAAAATTAAATTGTGAGGTATGGAGAAGTCAAGACTCCCTGTGTTGGCCAGTTTTATGTCAACTTGATGCGAGAGTCACAGGCAAGGAGGGAGCCTCAGTTGAGAAAAATGCCTCTATAAATCCAGATGTAGGGGCTGGAGAGGTGGCTCAACAGTTAAGAACACTGACTGCGGTCAGGCAGTGGTGGCGTACGACTTTAATCCCAGCACTTGGGAGGCAGAGGCAGGCGGATTTCTGAGTTCGAGGCTAGCCTGGTCTACCAAGTGAGTTCCAGGACAGCCAGGGCTACACAGAGAAACCCTGTCTCAAAAAAAAACCAAAAAACAAAAAACAAAAAAACCAACACTGACTGCTCTTGCAGAGGTCCCAAGTTCAATTCCCAGCAACCAGTACAGTGTACTCATATATATAAAATAAATAAATAAATCATGAAAAAAAATATCTAGATGTAGGCAAGCCTGTAGGGCATTTTCAAGTGCTGGGGCTAAAGGTGTGTGCCACCAGATAGGTCTGGCCTCTGTCTTCATTATTTAAGCCATTTATTTTTATTATCTTTAATGTGTGTGTGTGTGTGTGTGTGTCTGTCTGTGCAAGTGAGTGCAGGTTCCTGTGCAGACCAGAGGCTGTCTTGAATTCTGTAGAGCTAGAGTTATACACAATTGTTAGTGCCTTGACATGGGTGCTGGGAACCAAACCCAGTTCCTCCAGAAAAACAGTCAGTGTGTTAAGAACTCAGCTCTTAACTGCTGAGCCAACTCTCCAGCCCGTTTCTGTTTTTTTGTTTGTTTTTAAGTTTTATTTATTTACTATATATACAGTATTCTGCCTGCCAGAAGAGGGCATCAGATTTCATTGTAGATGGTTGTGAGCCACCATGAGCCACCATGTGGTTGCTGGGAATTGAACTCAGGACCTCTGGAAGAGCAATCAGTGCTCTTAACCTCTGCACCATCTCTCTAGTCCCTAATTCTTTGTTTGTTTGGTTTTGGTTTTGGTTTTGAAACAAACTCCCAAGTCACTATGTAGCTGAGGCTGGCCTTGAACTCCTGATTCTCCTGTGTCCACCTCCGACTAGGATTACATGTATATGCCGCCACAGCTGGCTTTTAAACGTAGGACAGACAAACGTTGCTTTCCCATCACTTACACTGTTGATTCTTTCCATTTGCTTCCTGGCAAAAATTCCCAACTCCTCTAGATCTGGTTTTAGGGGTCCTGGGCCAGAGACTCAGATGCCTAACTTCCGCCCCCAGCGCAAATGGATCCCAGGGTGCCTTGTATTTTCGTAGGCAGGGACATCATATATTCCCAGCTTCTTGGTTTTCTTCCAATTCTTCCCAGACGACAACTCCACTCCCTCCCCAGGTTCCTTAACTCGAGGAGGAACAGCCCACCTTTGATAGCAGCAGGGTGGGAACACAGGTCTGGGGGCAAGTAAGGAGCTGGTGGTCTTGGAAACGCTTTGTTCCCACAGGATGAAGAGAGGGGAACTCTTTGACTATCTGACTGAGAAGGTCACCTTAACCGAGAAGGAAACCAGGTAAGGCGCATGCGCTATCTCCACGCAGTCTCCCAGTACTAGCACCGACGTCAAGTGGAAGGCCTGGCTTGCTAAGGTTTTACGTTTTAGTTAAGATCATGCTGGCTTCTGGGATCTCCCAGCTCCTGGGCTCATTCTACATTCTAGATGCTAGACTGTCCCAGCCTGTCCTAGCTCCAACTTCGTACGCAGTGTTGGCATGGGGGCTTTGGCCTCCCTGAATCTTCTCTGTGCTGAGTGGAAGAAGAACGTGTAAGGGAATGCTCAATTCTGTGGTATGGAAAAAGTTTTGCCTAATTCTAGAATTAAAAATTAAGCCAATGCGCCGGGCGGTGGTGGCGCACGCCTTTAATCCCAGGATTTGGGAGGCAGAGGCAGGTGGATTTCTGAGTTCGAGGCCAGCCTTGTCTACAGACTGAGTTCCAGGACAGCCAGGGCTATACAGGGAAACCCTGTCTCAAAAAACCAAAAAAAAAAAATAATAAAAAAAAATATTTTTTTTAGCCAATGTACCTGGAGAGAGGGCTCTGCAATTAGAGCGTTTGTCTGTCTGTCTGTCTGTCTTTTTTTTTTTTTTAAGATTTTATTTATGGGCTGGAGAGATGGCTCAGCGGTTAAGAGCACTGCCTACTCTTCCAGAGGTCCTGAGTTCAGTTCCCAGCAACCACATGGTGGCTCACAGCCATCTGTAATGGGATCTGATGCACTCTTTCGGTGTGTCTGAAGACAGCTACAGAGTACTCATATAAATAAAAATAAATAAATAATATTAAAAAATATTTATCACCGGGCAGTGGTGGCAAACACCTTTAATCCTAGCACTTGGGAGGCCGAGGCAGGCAGATTTCTGAGTTCGAGGCCAGCCTAGTCTACAGAGTGAGTTCCAGGACAGCCAGGGCTATATAGAGAAACCCTGACTCAAAAGAATTTTTTTTTTTTTAATCTGAGTACACTTTGACTGTCTTCAGGCACACTAGAAAAGGGTATCAGATCTCATTACAGATGGTTGTGAGCCACCATGTAGTTGCTGGGAACTGAACTCAAGACCTCTGGAAGAACAGTCAGTGCTCATAACCTCTGAGCCATGTCTCTAGCCCCTTTGTTCTTGATTTTTGACACAGGGTCTCACTATGTAGCCCTGCCTGGCCTGGAACTTGTTATGAAGGCCAGGGTGGCTTTGAACTCACAGAGATCTGCCTGCAGGGTGTTGGCATTAAATACTTGCTATTCTTTTAGAAGACCTAGTTTCAGTTCCCAGCATCCTTATTGATGGCTTAAAAATGTCTGTGACTCCTGTTCTAAAGAATTGAGGGCCTGTTGCCTTCTGATCACCTTGGGCACTACATGAATGGAATAGATAAATGTATATTTAGACAAACACATTAAATAAACAAATGATGCTGGGTGGTGGTGGCCCACGCCTTTAATCCCAGCACTTGGGAGGCAGAGGCACTTGGATTTCTGAGTTCGAGAGTTCGAGGCAGCCTGGTCTACAGAGTGAGTTCCAGGACAGCCAGGGCTACACAGAGAAACCCTGTCTCAAAAAACCAAATAAATAAATAAATAAATAAATAAATAAATAAATAAACAAATGCACTGTTGTTTTTTTTTTAAGAAAAAAAAGCCAATGAGCTAGATATGCCCCTTCGTAATATAATACTTGCCCAGAGTGTATAAGACCCTGAGTTCCATCCCTAGTATCTGGGAAAATTACAAAACAAAAAATTAAAATAGATTGAAGTATGGTGATGAATATCTGAAACCTCAACAAGAGGGAGCCCGAGGCAGGAGGATTATGAGTTCAGGGTTAATCTGAGTTTCATGTGACACCTTGTTTCAAAAAGTAAAAATAAGGGTAAGCCATAATTCTACCTGGTAGACTGTTAGCCTGGCATGCTGGGATAGTTCGCTTTCTAGCACTGCATAAGCTGGCCGTGGTGGTACATACTGCTAATCTCAGCATTTGGAAGATGGAAGCAGGAAGATCAGGAGTTTAAGGTCATCCGCAGCTACATAGGATGTTAGAGGCCAGCCTGAGCTACAGGAGATCTTGTAAAAATAAAATACAATAAAACAAAATTAAAATAGCAGGATGTGGTGGTGAAAGACTTTAATCCCAACATTTGGGACACAGAGGCAGGCAGATCTTACAGTTCAAGGCCAGCCTGATCTACTGAGAGTATTCAGGATAGCCAGAGCTACACAGAGAAAGCCTCTCTAAAAAAAAACAACAACAATAATAGCAACAATAATAAAATAAGTGAAATAAAAATACTAAGCCAAGGTCATGCATCTCCCTTCAGAAAGATCATGCGGGCCCTGCTGGAGGTGATCTGTACCTTGCACAAACTCAACATTGTCCATCGGGACCTGAAGCCGGAGAACATCCTTTTGGATGACAACATGAACATCAAGCTCACAGACTTCGGCTTTTCCTGCCAGCTGCAGCCAGGAGAGAAGCTCCGAGGTCTGGTACCATGGCCTTGGCCCGTAGAGGGGCCTCATTGATGGAAACTGCATGATTTTTCTCCCCAGAATAAAAGCTCTAGCATGTCAGTGGCTAAGGAGATGGTTCCGTGGGTCAAATGGACTATACAAGCATGAGGACCTGAGTTCAAATCCCCAGAGCCCATGTAACTCCAACACTAGGCAGGCAGCTAGAAGGATTTCCTCGGGGTTGCTGGCTGGTCTGCCTGCATCAGTCAGCTCCAAGCCAGAGAGAGATTCTGTCTCAAAAACAAGATGGAGGAGGCTGGAGAGATGGCTCAGTGGTTAAGAGCACTGGCTGCTCTTCCAGAGGTCCCGAGTTCAACTCCCAGCAACCACATGGTGGCTCATAACTATCTATGATGAGATCTCGTGCTCTCTTCTGGCCTGTAGGCATATATGCAAGCAGAACTGTGTATACATAATAAAAAAAACAGAAAACCCCAAGATGGAGAGCAGTCACTCACACACACACAATTATTTTTCATGTGTGTGGGTGTTGTATCATATGAATGGTGCTGGGACTCAAATTCATGTCCTCTAGAAGAGCCCCCCAGTATTCTTAATCATAATGACTCATCTCTGGGGTGTGGGGGTGTGTGTGTCTGCCTGCCTCTGCCTCCCACATATTTCACATGGATTCCTAGATCCTTAATTATGTAGAGGACCCAGCACCCACATAGGAAGGGCAACTTTCTTTTATTTTTTTTTGTTTTGTTTTTGTTTTTTGTTTTTCGAGACAGGGTTTCTCTGTGTAGCCCTGGCTGTCCTGGAACTCACTCTGTAGACCAGGCTGGCCTCAAAGTCAGAAATCCGCCTGCCTCTGCCTCCCAAGTGCTGGGATTAAAGGCGTGTGCCACCACCGCCAGGCTACAACTCAAGTTCTAAGGGATCTGACTCTTCTGGTCTCTGTGGGCATTTTTACCTATGTGCACCGCCTACATATACATATCCATTGAGTCAGGTTTCCATGACCTGAGCTCTATGCCAGGGTGCCTAAAAGGTCCTAGGAATCCACGGGTGGCCCTCTGAGCCTCTGTATTCTGCTGTTACTACTGAGTGTAAAATAGGACAGCCCTACCAAGCACTGTTTTGTCTCTTGGTTTTCTTGGGTAACTTCTTCCAAGGGAGGGCCCCTGGTGGCCTGTCCTGATAGCGGCTGTTCCTGCAGAGGTTTGTGGGACTCCTAGTTATCTGGCCCCTGAAATCATCCAGTGCTCCATGGACGAAGGCCATCCTGGCTATGGGAAGGAGGTGGACATGTGAGTGATATGGGTAGATGCGGGGGGTCGGGGGGGGGGAGGTGGTCCCAACCGTGGCCTGAGCCCAGTGAAGCTAGGAGCGATGGCCAGCCACTCCTGTATGCCTCCCCTCCCCGTGAGGCTAAGGGTGACATGAGGCCCCGTCCACCCTCCAGGTGGAGCACGGGAGTCATCATGTACACACTGCTGGCTGGCTCCCCACCCTTCTGGCACCGGAAGCAAATGCTGATGTTAAGAATGATCATGGATGGCAAATACCAGTTTGGCTCACCAGAGTGGGATGACTACTCAGACACAGTGAAAGACTTGGTGAGAGGGACAGGAGAACACCCCAATACAGGGAGCATGCCCCAGAGTGGAGGAAACTCCCGGAGGGACCATTGTCTGTCTCAATGAAGTTAATAAAACACCTAGCAAAACTACTTAAGGAAGGAAGGGTTTGTTCTGGCTCCTGTTTTATGGCTACGGCTGTGCGGAGGACCTGCCATGGTCAGGAAACAGGGAGATGGTTGCAGGACCCCAGCCCGAACTGGAACCACCCACATGTAGGGTGTAGCTTTTCACCTTAACCCACGTAAACAATTCCGCACAGACAGGTCCAGAGACCTGTTGTCTGTGAGGCTCCTAAATCCTACCAAGTTGGCCAACAGGACTGATCCTCACAACCCCGAGTTTTCCAGAATGCTGCCCTGGTATCCTCAGGTCCCTCTGTTCTCACAGGTGTCTCGCTTCTTGGTGGTGAAACCCCAGGACCGCTGCTCGGCGGAAGAGGCCTTGGCACACCCTTTCTTCCAGGAGTATGTAGTAGAGGAAGTGCGGCACTTCAGTCCCCGAGGGAAGTTCAAGGTACTGAAACCTTTTTTTTTGTTTTGGTTTTTCGAGACAGGGTTTCTCTGTGTAGCTAGCCCTGGCTGTCCTGGAACTCACTCTGTAGACCAGGCTGGCCTCGAACTCAGAAATCCGCCTGCCTCTGCCTCCCAAGTGCTGGGATTAAAGGTGTGCGCCACCACCGCCCGGCCAAGGTACTGAAATCGAACCGCCCCAAGGATCTTGAGGGAGGTTGCTGTTGCTTCCTGAGGCCCTCTATACGCTGCTGGCACCAGGCTCCCAGAACCTTAAACTATGGGGCGGGGTGGGGAATTCTAGAATTGTCCCTCTTCTTGTACCCCACTGTTTGAATGTCTGGTTGCAGGGATGTCAGCTAACTGACCCTGTTAGCCTAAATCCCTGTAGATGCTTATAGCCTGGGAATAGGAAGCATCATGAAGGGCACCCCCAAAGCCAACTAAGGTTTCCCCCGACAAGCTCCGCTGCCAGCTGAGGGTTCTCAGTGCTGCCGCCTACAGGTGATCTGTCTAACTGTGCTGGCCTCGGTAAGGATCTACTACCAGTACCGTCGGGTGAAGCCGGTAACCAGGGAGATCGTCATCCGAGATCCCTACGCTCTACGGCCACTACGGAGGCTCATCGATGCCTACGCTTTCCGCATCTATGGCCACTGGGTGAAGAAAGGGCAACAGCAGAACAGAGCTGCCCTCTTCGAGCACACGCCCAAGGCAGTGCTCCTCTCCTTGGCTGAGGAGGAGGAGGACTTCTGAGGGGCGGAGGGGCACAGGGGAAAGCAAACCGAGAGGGTATTCCCCCCGGAACTGTGAGAAGAGGATGCGCCAAGTAGGCTTCTGCAAAGGAGCAGGTGGCCCTACTCTGCGCTCTCAAAGGCTTGCCGCTAGATGCGCAGGCGGTTCCCATTAAACAGCAGTAATAACAGCTGGAGCTGAGTGTGCTGTTGCATGTGCCTGTTGTCCCGAGACAGTAGAATCCCAGGTTCTAGGCCAGCCTGGGCAGCTTAGTGATCATTATTTCAAAATAAAAATAGGGCTGAGAATGCATCTCTGTGGTGAGTGTAAGGCCTCTGAATTCAACCTCTGGTATGACAAAAATAGATGATAAACAAATAAATCCAATTCACCAGAGGCCCGGTCAGGCAGGAATGGAAGGGGAGAGAACACGTGCATTCTGGGAGATATTAAGCCTTCTGGCTTCTCTTCTATGCACCTTTGTCGATGTCTCTAGGTTTTTTTTTTTAAAAAAGATTTATGTATTTTATTTTGTCTGTATATATAGTATGTAACCCACATGCATGCAGTACCTGTGGAAGTCACAAGAGGGCGTCAGAAACCCTGAAACTTGAGTTGTATAAGTAGCTGGGACCACCTTGTGGGTGGTAGGAATTGAACCCCTCCTCTACAAGAACAAGTGCTCATAACCACCCAGCCCTGTCTCACTCTCTACATGGGCCCAAGGTTATCGATAGCTGAGGGAGTGGGAGCAGGGTGGCCAGGAGTTCAAAGTCGTTCTTGGCTACACAAGGTGCTTGAGGCTAGCATGGGCTACATGAAACCCTGTCTCAAATATACTGGACTTCCTGCGGGGCAGTGGTGGCGCGCACACCTTTAATCCCAGCATTTGGGAGGCAGAGGCAGGCGGATTTCTGAGTTCGAGGCCAGCCTGGTCTACAATGTGAGCTCCAGGATAGCCAGGGCTACACAGACAAACCCTGTCTCGGAAAAAAAAATACACACACACACACACACTGGACTTCCTGATATACAAAAGAATTTATTGACCTCACAAGATCCAGTTCTTCAGGGTCATGTTTGCAGAGTACTCAGATTAACTCTCAGAGAAGTTTCTTGCCTTTGTCTTCCTAGAGGAGCACTGACTTTGGTTCTCCCACAATGCACAGCTTCGCCTCATAAATCATTTGCTCTACTGGAGCATTTTAATAGTGGGCCCCATGTGTAATGCCAGCAGCACTCAGGAAGCTGAGGTAGGAGGACTGAGAGTTCGAGACCAGCCTTGCCACACACTGAGTCTCCTGTTTCAAAGGACAGCATGGCTAAGTTCTGGCAGTTAAGGCTTTGGTGCCACCTCACAAAGGAAGCATCTTCCCTCTACAGAATTTCCCCGGGAAAAGTGAAAGCTGGATCAGATGGGGAGAAAGCAAAAAGGGAGAGATCTTAAAATGCTGTCTTTTGGAGAACTGCTCCAGATATTGAAGTATTTGGTTCCTTTGTCCTTAATACTCTACTCAAGAGACAGCCCAGCTCCCAGCCTTGCTCATCCAGGCCCTTATCTCCCAGGCTATGGCAGTCCCTTCTGGGGGTTTGACTGTTCTTCCGCCCTTAGGAGGTGTCTGTCAGAGGGGCAGGGCTCAAAAGGCCATCATCCCTCAGACGATGAGCTTGGTATCCGGCTGCCTCTGGAACACGGTCAGGGAGATACAGTACTGAGGGGGTGCTTTCTCCACCTCTGTCTGCCTGCTCACAGATCTTCCTTCAGCCTGCCTGCATTGGAAGCGCAGCGGAAACCCAGATTGTCTGAGGCTGAATCTGGAGTGTTGCCCATCCTGGAGAGAGGAGGGAGAGATGGTGCACACTGTTGGGGATGGGGGGGGGGCGGGCTGTAGTGGTCTGAATGAGAATGGCCCTCAAGTCTGAATGCTTAGTCATCAGGGAGTGGAAGGAACTGCTTTAGAAGGACTGGGAGGTGTGACCTTGTTGGAGAAGCTGTCACTAGGGATTAGCTTTGAGTGTCTCTCACTGCCTGCTGCCTGCGGATCAGAGTGTGAAGCTCTCAGCTCCAGCTCCATGATGCTCTGCTTCCCACTACGATGATCATGGACTAGCCCTCTGAAACTAAGCAAGCCGCCAATTAAGTGCTTTCTTTCATAAGAGTTGCCTTGGTCGTGGTGTCTCTTCACAGCAACTGAATCGTAACCAACACGGTTGGGCTGAGGGCAAGTCCGGCCAGTGTGCCACTAGGGAGATGGGGACAGAGTAGGGCCGTGGGTGGCCACACAGGATTGCAATAGAGGGTGGTCTTAGTGACCACCGATGAGTAACTCCTACTCTGAGATTAACCTAACAGCTCAACATACCTGCAGGTGAGAAATGAGCCTCACAGAACGTGATGGCTATTCTTAGTCGTCGCCTCCACTGCATCTGGAATGAACTAGAACTCAAAAATGGAGGGGCACACCTGTGAGGGGTTTTTGCTCAACTTGAAGTGGGAAGACCCATTTCTAATCTGAACCTTTAAGGTGAGAAGACACATTTTTAATCCAGACCTTTTGAGGTGGGCCCTCTCTTCTGAGCTTCTGCTGGAAGCTCACACAAGGACATGGAAAGAGGAAGCTCTTGCTCTTGGCCTGCTTGCCCTCGCCTTGTGTAGTGGCTATTCCTGGTTGTTAACTTGACTATATCTGGAATGAACTACCATCCAGAATTGGAAGGCTCACCTGTGAGCCAGATCTTGAGGCTGCAAGACACGAGTTTCTGACCCTGGATCTTGGCATGTAGATCCTGAGACATAGTGGCTATGAAAAGCTAAGGCCCAGGCACGGTAGTACCTGCCTTCAATCCCAGGAGACTAAGGCAAGGAGATCTCTGAGTTCAAGGTCAACCTGGGATGAAACAAGTTCCAGATCCAGACGTGGTGGTATATACCTTTAATCTGGGCCACACCTTCTGCTGGAGGCCTACATACGGACATTGGAAGTAGGACGATCCTCTCTTCTTTGCTTGCATTTCCTTGCCAGCACCTGCATTGGAACCTCCTTCTACAGAAGACCACCTGAAACAACTAACCTTGTGCAACTGAGCAACTACTGGATTCCTGGACCCCCCAGTCACAGCTGCCCATGGTTGGGGAGTCAGACTACAGACTGTAAGTCAACCCAATAAATTCCCTCAGTATAGAGAGACATTCCATAAGTTCTATGACTCTAGAGAACTCTAATACAATACACCTTGCTAGAAAGTCCATTCCTTCACCGTCATTAGAGCTTACTTCTTTGGAATTCCAGCATCTCCTGAAGACGAGCTGAGACATCCAGTCCCACAGACTAAACAATTACTGGTTTCTTGCATTGTCCACTCCTAAGCAGCTATTGTTGGATTAGCTGCACCTCAGCCTGTATAAGTCATTCCAATAAATCCCCTTTCTATACGTAGAGAGAAATTCATTCTGGAAGTTCTGATATTCTACAGAACCTTAACTAACATGGCAGTTAGTCTGTTCTGATGAGCAGGGGCCTCACCATCTTCCAAACCTACAATCTGAAACTGCAAAGCCTGAGGAGTCTCAGCCAAGGCCCACCAAATTAAATCTATGAAGAGTGAAGCAGAAGCCCCAAGACTAGAAGTCAACAATGTGGGGGGGGGGGAGCTACCACTGACCACTATATGAGACAAGCAGCTCCAGCACCTCCCTGACAAAATGACTCTAAGCAGTAACCTTTTCTGCATCCAGGAGCTTGACAAGCTGGTTATCTCAGATCTCCTGGGTGTGACCGACTGATGAGCGACTCCTCCTTCCTTTGCCCTGCTAGGTGTGGGAAAGGAACCTACAGCAGGAGGTTGCCAGACCTGCCTCTGTCCCCTTGGTGCAGCTGAGTCTCAGGAAAGGGTCTCCAGGCTGTTTTGGGGACCCATGTTTACGTCCCACGCTTAGCAGCACTAGCCTGCTTCTCTTACAACTTTGAGTGGGGGCTGGCTCTGCAGGAAGGGTGAGGGGGTGTGAACTGGATACGGAAAGAGCTTGGTGAGGAAGGGCTTAAGGTGAAAAAGACAGGATGGGGTGCAGAGAGCAGCTCCTGCCCCAACTCTGGGCCACGGTTGCAGAGGCTTGTGGTCCTTGGACCCTTACCTGGTGGTGACCCGAGCCCGGTGATTGGCAGAACCATCTGCGGTGTCAATCCATGATGCCCCCCTGAGGACACGCATGTCCTGGCCAGCAGCTTGGTATGTGGACGATGTCCATTCCCACACATTGCCCATGAGGTCATATAGTCCTACAGAGTAGCAGTAGGCCATCAGATGGAGAAGCAGGAGATTCTCTCCTCCCCACCAAATGCCCCGGGGAGGATGGGGGAAGAGTTTTCCTTTGTCATTTTGTCAGGCACTGTGAATGAAAGGAGGTCTTACCATAGTTGTTCTGTGGGGGAAAAGCATTCACTGGTGACAGTCCATGGAAACCATCTTCAGCTCTGTCACCCTTGGGGAACTTTCCCTGATAAGGACAATGAAAGTCAAAGATCTATCAGCCTGCCCCAAGGCAAGCGCTCCTGTCTGTCCAGAGGGAAACCAGGGTCGCTCCACTCTGCTGCTTCATGGGGGGAGGACAGTGACCTCAGGTCCCCTTCCATGGTGCTTTGGAAAGAGCACTGTCTCTACCCATCCATGTCTTCCATCCCTGCCAGGGATGGAGCCACCAGAGCCCATGCTCTCCCATTGCCCTTCCTGACTTAAGCACACCACCTGTATTTGCTCATGTGATTGGTTCAACTCCATTTTCCTTCTCATCAAAACTGGGGTTCAGGGGCTGGGGAGATGGCTCACAGTGTAAGCACAAGGGCCCAAGTTCATATCCTGAGAACCGTATAAGATCTGGGCATGGTAGGATGCATGCATCTGTAACTCCTGTGCTATGGGGCAGAGAGAGACAGATCCCGGGGGTGGTTGGCTAGCCAGTCTATGAAATAGAGAGAGCTCTGTCTCCCATTGAGATGTCCTGTCTCACACCCACATGGCAGTCCACAAATGTCTGTGATTCCAATTCCAGGGAATCTGGCACCATGACACAGACAGAGATGCATGCGAAAGACCAATGCACATAAAAATAAGTAAATCGGTTTTTTTTTTTTAAAAAAATAGCATAAACTTTGCTTACAGA